TGAGAAAATGTCTGGCTGTTCATGGTAGTTGGAATAGTATGATATTACTTCTGCAAGGTACCTAGGCTGCTGAAGGAAAAGTTCCTTTATATGTATTGAGTTCCTGGTTTATCCAAGCTTGTGAGAGACAAGCTTGCACAAGGCAGCATATAGTTTTGTAAATAGCACATTTAAATAGTCAGGGGACTTGGATTCCAGTCTTGGCTCCAACACTGGAGGCCTACAGTAGATAGGGTCTACCTTGCTGACTTTCCTGGGCTGCTCTAAGCTGCAGCATTAGCCATTGTCAATGCTTATTTTAAATAGCATTTCTAGTCCTCAGTACGCACTTTCAGCTCTTCAACAAAGCTATACCAAAGCCGTCAAAGCTATGAAAGCCATTGGTTTGTGCAGCATTATTTGATGGGTTTTAGTTCTAGGTTACCCCCTTCCTCCTAGTAGGGCTGAAGTACAGTCAGTACCCCTGCTCTGCAAATGTAGTTAGGAAAAGCCAGTGCTCTAGGCCATCTGCAAACTGAACGATGGCAAACAGACTGTCATCAGTACATTGTGTTAGCAGTGAGAAAACACTGGGGAAACCTGTGTCTTTCATAACCAAAGGCTCGCTGGTTCTAAATGTACTTGACAGTGTGTCTCATTCAGAAGCCTTTCCCTCTTCCTTCTGCTCTTTCTTTCTATGCTTTGGTATTGTGTAAGTGATTTGGCCAGTTCACCTAATTTCTTGATAGTTCATTAGAATTTGAAGAATATTGCCTGTTTTTACTGGTTATTGGTTTTCTGTGACCCTGGGAAACCATAATGCACAAAGTGGTAGAGATATGAGACTTTCTTGTCACAGCTTTGTAGTATCCACTGAAAGTTTTTATGTCTCCCTTAAATTATCTCTGCTTTCAAAAATAGACATTCCAAAGCTACTGATAGGCAAGGTTGCAATTCCAGTTATAATAGAGTAAGCACACTCCATCTTTCTTTCGCACTGAATGCAGCCAAAAAACACTGGGCAGAATATATGGATCAGCTATTTGAGGAATCAAAAGCAAATGATAGCGGGCAGATGGAGGAAGGAAACCAAAATGCAAGGTATGAAAGACCCAGTCCAGAGTTTCCTGTTTTGTTTTGTTCTTTTCTTTTTTCCATTCACATTTCCTGCCTGGATTCAAAGTCAGTGCGCATCCCAGAATTGCACTCTGGGTACAGACAGAGCTCCAAGGGAATCCCTCTCTTTCTGGCCAAAGGAGAGGAAGGGAAGCCGCACCAGGACAGACTGGAAGAAATCCTACCAGTTTTTATGCTAACCCTGTTAACATTTAATATGTTACATTCTAGACTTTTTCTGCGCATAGTGTTTGTAAAACAGTTATAGTTATACCAAACATTGTGTTTCCTGTTTTTTCTCTTAATAGAGGAATATGCTTATAATCTAAACTTACTATACAGTCACTGTAAACTTATTTTTAAATAATTTGGTAAGCAGCTGTAGCCTGGTTCAGGGATTCTCAAATCTTAGTGTGCATTTAAATTACCTTAGATTCTGGTTCACTGGTCTACCTTGGGACCTGAGAATGCATTTACAGCAGGCACCCCATCTTGCCAATACTGTCCCCGGAAAGACCAGGTTTTGAACAGTTATTTAACAGTTCCCATTTAGGTTGTTTCCAGTTTGTTGCTTTTTTTCTTTAGAGACAGGGTCTCACTTTGTTGCTCAGGCTGGAGTGCAGTGGTATGATTATAGCTCACTATAGCCTTGAACTCCTAGGCTCAAAGGATCCTCCCGCCTTGGCCTCCCAAGTAGCTGGGACTACAGGCACATGCCGCCACACCCAGCTTACTTTTAAATTTCTTATAGAGATGGTCTCGCTATGTTGCCCAGACTGGTCCCAAACTCCTGGCTTCAAGCAACTCTCCCACAGTGCTGAGATTACAGAAATGAGCCATCACTCCCAGCCTGTTGCTTTTGTAATTAGTGTGATGGTGGGATATTTTTGCACATAGAACTTTTCTTCATATTTGGTATTATTTCTTTGGGGTAGACTCCTAGAAGCAATGTAACTGGGTCAGAAGTTATGACTTTAAATTGCTGGTAAACTATTGATGATTATTTTCTCAGATTTTGCCAATGATAATAAATATCTTCTTTATATCTGAGCCTCATTCGAGGCTTAGAATGGTTCAGCTGTATGAGGTCACACAGCAAATCGTTCAAAGAGCTGTGATTTTACCCCCAGGTATCTGTTTCGCAGCCTGCTCTTCCCCTGCACTACTTCGGAGACAGCCACTGCTTCCCCCTATCCCCTCCATTTAAACAAGTCTCACTCTGCTTGTGCTTGCCTCACCGTTAGCTCACTCTTTTTCCTTTTAAGCTTTGCTAATTCAACATGTGAAAATGAGCTCCTCTTATGTTCATTTTTATTTATATTTGTTTGACAGAGTTTATGCCTCTATCTGGTCACATCTGTGGTCCTTTGATAAATTTTGTTTCCTAAGTTGGTCTTACTTTACTTGACTTCTCTGCTGTGTAAACAATACAGATACTAACTTGTTTCTGCTGCAACTGTTTTGTAATTTGTCTTGTATTTTGTTTGCTTTTTTTAAACATAATTTAACATTTTCTTTCTCTTTTTCTATTTCCCACTAAACTTAAAGAGGTTTTCCCTTTGCAGAAGTTTGATAAACATAGGAAGATATTTTTAAAAGGAAGCGTAGGGGCTTTAAGGGCACCTGTGAGAAATACAGCATTAAATTTTTGCTTTTTTCCTCAGTGCCAGGTTTACTTGATAATTTCTCCCTTCTGCCCAAACACATGGTTTCTCCACAAAGATTTTCATGCTCAAATGAGAGGACAAATTATGGGTGATGCTGTCTCGAGGATATGATTTATCATTTTTAAAACAGAGTTAGAAGGGCATTATGAAATAATGTAAAATGAAGAAATACCCAAGCTTTTTTGCCATAATTTTCTTCTACATTTTATCCATTGTTATAACAGAACTAGACCAAACTTTTAATTTGAAACTTTAAAAAAAAAGTATCATGTTTATACAGGCATGCAATTTAAAAAATAAAATAGTTCTATACAACTTGATGTGAAAAAACAATAGTCTCCTGGTCCTGACCCCACCAGTGCCTTTTCCTATTCTGCTTCAACTCTTCTAGCTGAACTTTGTGTTATTTAACTCTATGTCGTTCACTCTTTTTTTTAGATTTTTAAAATGTGTTTACTTTTGTGTCTCCACATGACATGAGATATTGCTACTCTGTAATTTTTGAATATAGGCATTCTCTGTTACTGCCTTCCACTGTAGAAGGCAAAGCTTTAGTGTCCTTCTGTGACTCCTCCTTCATGATCCCTACTCTGTGACCCCATCTCCACTACACATGTTCAGGCTTCCTATCCTGTCTTTGCTGTGCCGTTCTTTGTCCTTTGTTTAGCTCAATATGCAGTGCTTACATTATTACAGTTCTGTAAATGCTATTCATGGCCAAGACATGTAGTTTCCTAGAATTACTTTCCTTCTCTGCACAACATTTTGTTTCCTGTAGAGTTAGTAATTGCCTTGGTTTTTAGCTTTAGTAGTTTTCTTTGCACTTACCCCCAAATTATGAAACTCCTCTCAATATAGCCAGAGGCATTGGGTATTCTGTTGAGTTCATCTCCGTGGTGACATCTCTCCAGAGCTTACTTTCCAGCCCAAACTTGTGAGCTACTGCGCAGTCCTTCATCTCTCCTTTATTGGCATCCTAGTGAGTCCTGTTTCTTCTTTTCTCCATGTTTACTCCCTTACTATCGAGACTGTACCCTGTGTGATTCCTGGAAAAGAGTATATAAGTGGTAAATATTTTAAAATCATGTATATATGAAAAAGGCTTTAATTTATCCTTAGTTTATCCTTTAGTTTATGCTTAGTGGTAATATGGCTGGGTACAGAATTCTAAGTGGGAAATCGTTTCCCCGCAGAATCTAAAGGCATTTTCTCGAAGTTTTCTGTTTTTCAGTGTGGCTTTTGAAAAGTCTTATTCTAATGATCCCTCATATAAAGCTTGTTTTTAATCTCTAGAGGCTTTGGAGTCTCTTCTTAGTCCCCAGATTCTGAAATCCTATGATGCTGAGTCTTGGTATGTAGGTCTGTTTTCTTCCATTATGTTGGGCATTGAGTGATCACTTTGGATTTGGAAATTTATATCCTGTGTGGTGTGCTCAATCTACCTTTTTTTTTAAATTTCCCACACTTCACTGACATATCATCCTTCCATCGTTAATCAGAAGTCTTGATAATTTTTTTTAAAGGAAATTATAATAAAACGTGTTTCCCAAAGCTGGATTCTTATCAGTTAAATATTGAAAAGGGATCATGGTAACTAAATTGGACAACCAGAATTTCAAAGAGTACTGGCAAACAGAAAATATAGACAGTCACACATTTTACTTGACAGACAGGTAAATTAATTTATAATCTGGAAAATTATCCAATGCTCCCCAAGTAATTTGAGAAGATTAAAGGCACATCCCTTGTTTCAACATGATCCCTAAACATCCACATACCAAAAATATTCATATATTTGACTACCCCAACCTTTAGCCAAGTTAGTAGGACAGTTGTCTTCTAGGCCAACCATGGTAATAATACATCTTTAAATTTTTCCTAGACTATAGATTTAAATTTTCTTTCCCTAAATGATAGTTATACTAAAGCAATTATTCAGTCAGTCAGATAGAAGTAGTGTTTCTCTATCATTGTAATTTTTGAAAAACTGGGTAAACATCTACTGACATGTGCTTTAAAAAGTGCTAACTTTGAAAAGTCCTGAAGCCACATGATTCATCTGTAGGACCATTATTTCCCCCCAAGGGCTACTCTTGGAATGGTAAACGCTGAGTGGGCAAACTTCATGGTGGGGATTTTATGTGTCTTAATATAAGCTTAATTCTGGATATGAATAGTCATCTTAGCATATTTTCATGTGGGCTTGTAGTGAATCTTCTTTTTCTTCTTTTCTGTCAGCTTTTTGGAGACTGGGAAGCCCAACTGCGGAGAATAATGAAGCTCATTGCTGGAGGTGGCTTGTCTATCACTGGCTCTCACAACATGTGTGGGGACTATCTGTACAGCGGCCACACGGTCATGCTAACACTCACCTACTTATTTATCAAAGAGTGTAAGTCTAAAAGACTTCCATTGTAATTTCCTCACCTGGCATTTCTCATGAACTCTGGTCCTCTGGTAAAACTTGTTTTCTGGAAAATCTGCTGAAGCAAGACTGGAGGCTTCAGGAGGGTCACAGCTTCATTTCATCACCATGCAACTGGCACCCAGGGAAATATGTGGAAGGACAGAACTGGTCTTCCTGAGGAGGAGGTGTCCTGGAGTGTCATCTGTAGTACTGGGGTGGAGGGAGTTCCAAGCACAGCCTGCAGGGTGTGTCATGAGCCAGTTATACAGCTGCTGTAAGGAGCCAGTTGGAAATCTCAAAGGGACACAGAAATCCAGGATCAGGCCTGATTGGGTGATGGTAGATTATGTGTTGATACAGCAACTATTTTTTCAGCACTTGGCACTATGCTACATGCCTGAGGGTACAGTGATGGGTCAGACTCATCCCTGTCCTCAACAAGGCTATGGGCTTAGGACTGAGGCAGATACTAAATGGGACATTTCCCTTAAGAAATGTACTTAAAATATTTTATTGTGAAATCACAAAATAATATTATAGATACCGCATACATGGCTCAGATTTAATATATATTAGCATTTTGTCATATTTAATTCAGGTAACCCTTTTAGAAAGGAAATGAAATGTTAATATATGATTAAAGCCTTTTCATTCCTTTCCTATATCATTTCCATCCATTTTTTTGTACTTGTATATTATTGTTTTGTGGTTTTTAAAATGTATATACATAAATGGCATGATGCCATTTATATTCTTCTGCCACTATTTACCCTCAGATTATGTTTTTGAGATATGAGATTTTGGTCCATTCACTTTAATTGCTATTAATATGACAGTGCTAGAAATGAACTACCCATTTTTATTCATTTCTCTACTTACAGAAAATTTTATTATCCTCAATATCACATTGTTAGAAACAGTCTGATAAGCATTATGTAGAGGGTTTCCACGAAGAGCAATGGGTAGAACCAGGCTGCTGTGGTATCACAGAGGAGGGAGATGCTTTGCCTTCTGGAGGTGTCTTGGGAGCATGTGGTACTCTGTGGGAGTTTAAGTGATTGGAATTCAGAGTAGGGGTAATAATGAGAACAGACAGGTAAGTGGGAACCAGATCACAGAGGGTGCTTAAGCCATGAGAAGAGGGTCTGAACTCTCAGCTGATGGAGATCGGGTGCCCATTGAGGGGTTGTAACCAGTGGGGCAGTGTCATTTGTCTTTGAAGAGAGAAAAATCACTCTTGCAGCAGCTTGCAGGATGGACTGGATGGGGGGCAAAACTGGAGACTGGAAGAAAAGTTAGGAGATTGCTGCAGTAACAAAGGAAACTAGCCTGATGGCATCAGGGATGGAGAGAAGTGGCAGACACTTCAAGACATTAATAAAGAGAGTCAGCAGATAACAGGATGGATTATGTGGTAGAGAAAACAGGTAGCGGACTGGGCCGAAACCTAGTTTTGTTCTTGAAAAACTGAGATGAGGAAATATAGGAAGAGGAGAGAGATGCACTTCAGGGCACTGAGGTAGAAAAGGGAGAATAGATGTTCCAATGCTTATACTTAGTATGTGAGCAGATATAGTGAATTCTAGCAAGATCTATTCAGAATTGTCAGGGCATAATCCAGCCCTTGGACTGGGATGTAACTGGATGTGGACAGTGGGAATCACATAGGCCAGATGTCAGCAGCCCTGGGGGAGGGATTCCTGGCTCCTGCTGCCTGACACCTGAAATTCTTTAATGGGGTCAAGCCTTATCCATCTTGACAATAAGGCAGCATGTCATATTGAGAGGCAGAGGCCTTGGTACTATCACTTACTAGCTCTATGACCCTGGGAAGAAACTTTAACCTAAGTCTTAGTTTCCTCATGTTTAGAATGAAATACTCACATCTGCTTCATGGAGTGGGAAAAAGTTTATGAAAATTAAAATTAGATGGCATATATGGATACTTAGAGTCACACAGAGATTGTCTTGTTTTCGTATTGTCAAGGTATCGAATACTAATGTAACTAGAATATTCCTACCCTGACTGCTCCATTTAAAATTGCAAACTGCCCTTCACTCCCTATACTTCTGATCCCCCTTATCCAGCTCAACTTTATTATTTTTCCACAGCCTTTAACACCTAACATAATGTGTAAATTATTTATTATAAGTATTGTCTCTTATCTCTCTTCCCCACTAGGAAGGGATCTTCCCACAAAGGCAGGCTTCTTGCCTTTTTTATTCATTGATCCAGGTACCTAGAGCATTGCCTGTCCCTGGTATGTAAGAGGCTCAGTGAATATTGGTTGAATGAATGACTGGTTCTTGGACCCCTTGAGAATCCAATAAAAGCCTGAACTGCTCATGCTGGTGTGGAGAGTGTAGATCATATTCAAACAACATTTTGCCTAACATTGCAGAGCCTCTGAATCCCACAATTGAGAATCCAAGGTAGAAAGGCCTGCACTAATAGAAATTTTGATGTTTTCCTCAGGTAATTTCCCAAATGGAGGTACAGACAAGTATTTATCTGACACAATTCAGCCTTTGAGAAGGCACTTGAACTAGAATTCCCAGGCATCTGGATGCTTTTCTGTTTGTATTTGAGAAATGAAAATCTCAAAAGACTTTCAGATTAGTGTATGGTTGCAAAACTTGGAAAGCAGTATAGTTAAATCAATTATGACTGCTTAGTCCTTGTATTAGGCTCTATGGACCAAAAGGTATTGATTTTTATATAGAACATCAACCCCAAATTAACTAGAGGTAAATTTAAATGTCAATGGACAGTTTTTAAAAATGAAGCATGGTGCATTAACCTGTCCTTATCTGATTAGACTCATCTTTTAAACACTATTTATGATTGTATGAATCAATAACCAAATATGAATTACTATCACTAGTATAATCACATCATAAAAAGCTGTTTCTGTTCTAACCTTGGTTACAGATAAATGAAAGCCCTTAGATTCACTAGGTCTGTTTTCAGAAGGGAAGACTCAAGGTAATTGGATTCGGAAGCATTAGTAGAGGCATAGTTGAGTGCCCTTAATGTCATTTGAATAATGGGACTGTTGCAAATCTCTCCCCCTTTCAGATTCCCCTCGACGACTCTGGTGGTATCACTGGATTTGCTGGCTTCTCAGCGTAGTTGGAATCTTCTGTATTCTCTTAGCGCATGACCACTACACTGTGGACGTGGTGGTGGCATATTACATCACCACGAGACTCTTCTGGTGGTATCACACTATGGCCAATCAGCAAGTGAGTTTCTCCCCTTTTGATTTTAGCTTCTATTGCTTCTGGCTTGGTGTTGCTAGCTTGGGCAGGGTGCAAAGAACCCGTGGATGTCTTAAGTTTCTCTTTCTTAAGAGTTAATCAACTAAGATTGTGTTGTGTTTTGTGACACTGATTCTCTTCAGAATTAAGAATAAAAAGTTCATTAATATAATGGTGTAAGGAATTCCTTCTAGAATAAGTAGCACACTTTCATTATCCATGAAAAATGAAAAATATTTTCTAAGCTTGTGTCCCTCCTTGCTTGATTCACTTTCCTACCCTCTTCTCCCTATCCTGGGCACATCACAAGCTTAATACTTAACATTTAATTAAGTGTTAATATTTTTAGCATAGAAGAGGAATACCTAAAAAGCTAACTGAGGTATTTATTTATAGGCAAGAGATGAGTGAGCCATAAGTTCTCCTTGCCCTCCCAGAATTGGCGTTGTTTTTCTACTGAGATGTGGCTCAGTTTGTAGATGAGTATGGAGTGTAGAATGGTGGTGACAGAGAGAAGCTGGGATATGTGGGTGGACACGCAGGGTAGGTATGGGATCCTTTGGGAATTTTAGCATGGCAAGTATTTGAACTTAAAGTGAAAGATTGTAAGAAATGTGTTTATGTTTCTTTGTTATCCTAGGTGCTAAAGGAAGCTTCCCAGATGAACCTCCTGGCCAGGGTGTGGTGGTACAGGCCATTTCAGTACTTTGAAAAGAATGTCCAAGGAATTGTACCTCGATCTTACCATTGGCCTTTCCCCTGGCCAGTAGTCCACCTCAGTAGGCAAGTTAAATACAGCCGGCTGGTGAATGACACATAACAGCTGTACAAAGTGGGGAAAAGACAAATTGTCCGAAGTGCTAAGAACTCCATGAGAGAAGATGCCATAAAATAAACACCTCCCTATTCCTATTATCTTTCAATGGTTACCTTGACTTAACCCATTGAGTTACCTGGTCAGCACTGTGATCTTTTTTTCTCTCCAAAGGACCTGCGTTGGACAACAATAAAGAAAAATTTAACCTATCATGCACTGTACACATTTCCTGTTCATAAGTTTGGGATTTACATAACCCGCAACCACCATGTTCCTTTGTATATGATGCAACAGCATAAATGTAAGCTTTTATATCATAAGTTCTGGTCTTTCCAGTCACATCTGGAAATAAAGCGTATTATTTTCTTGGGAAAACATACTTTTCATATCTCTTGCCCCAAAGATTGGGCTGTAAGCCATTTTCTAGCAAATGTCTCTATGAAGGTTTCTAAGCACCTGAATGGGGTTTGATTCTGAAATCTTTCTACCTGTTGCACCGATATTCAAATAAAAATGATAGACACAGAAAGGTTTGGTAACTTTGGGTTTTGTAAAATCAGCAAAGACAGTGTTTCAAAAAGTGCAAAAAAAAAGATTCTGTTATGAAGTGATTTTCTAAGTATTTCCTAACTTTATTTTTCAAAATGATGTTATGAAAACCAAATTTAAAGATTTTTAACATGTCAGAGAGAAGAGAGTTAAAATTTAAAAATGCATCTTGGGAGAGAAATTTGTCTATGTTTCTAGTGCCTTTCTTGTCTTGATTGTATGGTCAGTAGGCAATCTTAAATGTTTTTATTTAAAATAAAGTATTCCATGAAAATATAAATATATGTATACACTACTAAATTTTGCATTTATAGCTAAATTGAATCAGAAGACTGCTTATGGTTTTAAAATTGCAATGACTTAAATAATGAGGTTGTTAATTAGAGTCAGAGCCTGTTCACATATTGTGATCAGGTAGCAATGACATGTACCACTTAAATTATTTTATCGTCTATTTGGTAGTTCGATTTTAACTACTCAATGAAAACAGCCATGAATATCTTTTCTTAAAGAGAGTTTTGAAAATGATCACTTACCTAAAACTTGAAAGCTATGAATTAGTTATCCATACTCTCATGACAATTTTGTTGGTGAACAACAAAAAAGAGATCTATTTCTTTAAAAGATATTTGTGCAGAAACTGCATGTAACTCTTAAGTTTTACTCCTAACATACGTATGTTTGGGGAAGTATTCTATTCTATACTTGCCAATGTGGAGAACAAAATAGTTTTTTAAGAATGAAGAAGTATATATATCCATTCTGTATTTTACGTGCAGCAGAATTATCTTCCGTAGGATTTTTTTGTGTATTCACAAGGTGATATTTGTATTGTAAAACAATAATGGTGAAGGAAATAAAAAGGCTTTTAAAATTTTGTTTGTTTTAAATCTTTGTAAAGTTATTATTCCAGAGAGTATACTGGTATCTTACAGCTTACCTAGATCATAAATTAATCAAGATGCACTTTTTAATAAAAACTGATACTTAAAATAAATGGCTGTTATTTCTACTGTGTTCACATTCTCCATAGAAGTCATAAATGAAGTCATTAAAGCAAGATAGAAAATCAGTTTCAGAATTTCTTCATGGAGTGTTTCTGCTTGACATGGGACTTTTAATAATTATCTGGATTTTTTTTTCTTGGGATTCCTTAAAATATATTCTAATCTTCAGTAAATTCTATGGAGTTTTTTAATATATAAAAAGAGTCACATATAATTTAAATTCAAACTTTAGAACAATGTTTACTAACATTTTGCATTCTCTAATTTTCAACCAAGTTGTTTTTTTTCTTCCTATACCTGGCAGTAATATAGCTTCTCCAGTGTAGATGGAAAGGAAAAGTAAATCCAAAGTGAGAAATAGAGTAATAGTACTATGATAACCAGTGGAAATGGAAAAGAACTATTCACAAAGAAAAAAGGTTATTATTATTTCTGATGTGGTGACTAAAGGAAAATCTCAACAGTGGAGATGTCTCTTTGATAAAGGATGTGTCAAGGAGGCTAGAAATATAAAACCAGAGGCCAGGTGTGGTGGCTCACGCCTGTAATTCTGGCACTTTGGGAAGCCAAGGTGGGCTGATCACTTGAACCCAGGAGATTAAGACCAGCCTGATCAATATGAAACCCTGTTTCTACAAAAAATACAAAAATTAACCCACCCAGCATGGTGATGCACACCTGTGGTCCCAGCCTCTTAGAAGACAGGTAGGAGGATCGCTTGAGCCCGGGAGGCAGAGGCTGCAGTGAGCCATGATCATGCCACTGCACTCCAGCCCCAGCAGAAGAGTGAAGCTCCATCTCTGGGGGGGGGGGGGGGGGTGGAAAGGGAAATTAAAACCAGTAAAACTTTTCCTGTGTGGGGCTTTAAACTTGTGTATCAGACAGGGGAAATGGGGTGGCCTCTTTAGGCAAATAGAGCCAAACCCTTGGATAGGTCTTTATTTAACTGTTACAGCCTTTCACTAACTTTGACTATTGACTGCTGCCATATGGAAGGGAAAGTAAATTGAGTAAGTGGAAATGATATATTGGCACTTACTAAAAATAGGATCTTTTTTTTCTAAAAAACTAGAAATAATTATATAAAAATTTATTGTTATGAGTTCACATGCCACATATGTATCACGACATCCACTGCTGAATGTTCTTCATGGCTGACTACACTGATTCATGAATTGACATACCTTCTGGGTCTCTAGTGTGCAAATCCCAGGAAGGACAAGGAGAAAGCTCATTGTATTCTAGAGAATCGTAGTATACTTGGTAAGGATTGCCTGTATAAGGACATGTGCTTTCTCAATGTCTTTTTTTTTTTTTTGGCTCACTTAACAAGTTAGACATTTTATATGTATTAGTTAACCCTCACACAACCACAAAGTGTAATTATCATTCCCATTTTACAGATAGACCAAAGTGACTCAGATATATTAAATAACCTGCCCAAGGGCATGCAACTGGTAACTGGTAAAAATCCTATTGGAACCCAAGTATCCACCCTCCCCGACCAATACTGTGAGCTTTCATAAACTCTTCAGTAAGACTCTGCAGTGAGAGAAACCTATGCCTATGGTGGTAAAGCATACTCTTACTGTGGACTGAGGAGCAAGAAATTTACACCATAAGGTGTGAGAGGAAAATTTGACTGATTTCTTAATTGCTATATGTTTTATTTGTATCCCAAGCACATGCCAAATTTTGATCAGTTTGATAAATCTCATGATAAATCTCATAATAAATACCTCATACAATGGAAATCCATGCCAACCTTAATTTGACCACCAATATACAAAAAGTCAACTAGATTTCCGAATTTATTAGGAAACAATATGCTGTTTGGATCACTAGATATTGATATCCTTTATTTTTTTTTCTCCCTGGGATCAAGAAACAATTTGAACAAGTCAAAACTGTTGACTTGGTATTCTACTTATCAGCACCTTAAAATACTTATCCACTTCCTAGTTTACAGTGCAAGTCAGAAGGAAATGAAATGACCTTTCACGTTTAAGGTGATAGTTGATATAACTGAATGAATATCTACCATGTTTGTAACTCTTTTCTGTTTGTTGCATTTGTCCTCTCTTCATCCCTTCCTTTTTCTGTCTTCCTTTAGTTTTGAACAATTTATGATTCTATTTTATCTCTTAGCATGCCAGTTATTCTCTTTATGAATGTTTAAATGGTTGCCCTAGAGTTTACAATATAAACTTTTTTCCAAATACAAGCCTGCCTTCAAGTGTAGTGTAGACATTTTATAACAACACATTCCCAATTTCTCATTTCTGCCCTTAGAACATTCCTGTCATTCATTTCACTCATCCATGTGGTATAATCATTCAATACACTATGACATTTATTACTTTGAACAAGCAATTACCCTACAGATCAATTAAGAACAATTAAAAATTTTGTTCACCTTCACTTATTTATTCTCTGATGCTCTTCTTATGTAGTTCAATCTTCTAACTGACATGATTTTCATTTTGCCTGAAGAACTTCCCATTTCTTACAGGGCAGGTTGGCTGGCTTTTTTTCTTTCAACACTTTAAATATTTCACTCCACTTTCTTCTGGCTTACCTAGTTTCTCACAAGAAGTCTGCCATAATTTTATTCTTTTCTTCTATAGGTAATATGCTTTTTCCTCTGGCTTCTTTCAAAAATTTCTCTTTATCTTTGCCTTTCTACAGATTTAAGATGAAATGCGGAGGTGTAGACTTTTTTGGGGAGAAGGGTATTTATTTTTGACTTTTGATGTTCTCTGAGCTTCCTGGGTCTGTGGTTTGGTGTCTGTCATTAATTTTGAAAAGTTGTCAGCCATTATTACTTCTTTCTTCTCCGTTTTCCCTTTCTTTTGTTTTTGATACTCCCATGATGATAAGTTACACATTTTGAAATTGTCCCACAGTTCTTGGATGTTTGCCTCCCCCTTTTTTCAGTCTGATAGGTTTCTATTGACGCATCTTCAAGTTCACTGATACTACTCTCCTTGGCCATGTTTGTTCTAATGATGAGCCTATCAAAGGCATTATTCATTTCTGTTACAATGTTGACTATTTCTAGCAGTTTCTTTTGGTTCTTAGCTCCAGATTCTTCTGCTATATTTTTGGCCTTCCCTTTTGACTTGGGCTTTGCTAAATAGTCCTCCTCAGAGAGGGTCTGTGTCTGTCTCTTGTATCTGTTTTAACTGTAATCCACTATTTTTCTTTTTGGAGCTCTATTGGTGTGGTGGTTAGATGTTGGATAGGGGGAGAGTTTAACCACCTGATTGAATCTCAGTTTTTCAAGACTTTTTTTGTTGATACATAATATGGGCTACATGTAATGTATTGCTGCATGCATAGAATGAGTAATGATCAAGTCAGGGTATTCAGGATATCTATCCCTTCAAGTATTTATTATTTCTGTGTCTTGGGAACATTTTGAGTCCTCTTTTCTAGCTGTTTTGAAATATACATTATTGTTAACCATAATCACCCTATAAACATTAGAATTTATTCCTTCTATCTAACTGTATCTTTGTACCCATTAACCAAACGGTCTTCACCCCACTTACCCTTCCCTGCCTCTGGTATCCATTTTTCTCTCTATCTTCAAAAGAGCAACTCCTTTAGCTCCCACTAATGAGTGAGAACATGCAATATTTGTATTTTGGTGACTGACTTATTTAACATAATGATCTCCAGTTCCATCCATTGCAGCAAATGACATCATTTCATTCCTTTCTGTAGCCAAATAGTATTCCAGTGTATATATATACCACATCTTCTTTATACATTTGTCCATTTATGAATACTGAGGCTGACTCTATGTTGTTGCTATTGTGAATAGTGCTCCAATAAACACATAAGTGCAGGTATATTTTTCATATACTGATTTCTTTTCCTTTGGATAAATACCCAGTAGTGGGATTGGTGGATCATATGGTATTTTTTTTTTTTTTTTTGGTCTTTTTCAGTAATAGTCATTCTAACTGTGGTAAGATGATAAGCGATGTTGAGCATTTTTTCATATACCTGTTGGCCATTGTATGTCTTCTCCTTTGAGAAATCTCAATTCCTGTCCTTTGCCCACCCCCCTTTTTTATTTTATATACTTTAAGTTCTAGGGTACATGTGCAAAATGTGCAGGTTTGTTACATATGTATACATGTGCCATGTTGGTGTGCTGTACCCATTAACTCGTCATTTACATTAGGTATATCTCCTAATGCTATCCTTCCTCCCTGCCCCCTCCCCACAATAGGCCCCGGTGTGTGATGTTCCCCTTGCTGTGTCCAAGTGATCTCATTGATTTTTTTTTTTTTTTTTTTTTTTTACTGTTCAGTTGTCTGCATTCCCTGTATATTCTGAATGTTAGTCTCTTGTTGGATGAATAGTTCCCAAATATTTTTCTCCCATTTAGGAGGTGGAGTCTTCACTCTGTTGATTGTTTCCTTTGCTATGCAGAGCCTTTTAGTTTGATATAGTCCCATTTGTCTATTTTTGGTTTTGTTATCTGAGCTTTTGAGGTCTTAGCTATAAAATTTTATGTTTAAGTCTTTAATCCATCTTGAGTTTGTTTTTGTATACGGTTAAAGATACAGGTCCAATTCCATTCTTCTACATATGGATATCTGATTTTCCCAGCACCATTTACTGAAGAAGGTGTCCCTTCCCCACTGCATGTTTTTTACACATTTGTAGAAAATTAGCTGTCTCTAAATATGTGGATATATTTCTAGATTCTCTATTTCTTTATATTGGTCTATGTGTTATTATATCCATATCATGTTGTCTTGGTTACTATATCCTTGTAATGTATACTGAAATGAGATAATATAATGCCTTCAGTTTTGTTCTTTTTGCTCAGAATTGCTTTGGCTATTCAGGCTCTATTTTGGTTTCATATGAATTTTAGGATTGTTTTTTCTATTACTGTGAAAAATGACATTGGTATTTTGATAGAGATTACATTGAATCTGCAAATCACTTTGAGTTAATATCATTTTAA